TACCTAACATTTCTCCAAGAGACCTTACCGGAGCTGCCGGAAGTGGTGCCTTTGGTAGTCGTCGTGAAATTTGGTTCCAGCATGATGGTGCCCCGGCACACTGCACTAATATCGTCCGTGAGTATTTCGATGAAACTTTGGCAACAGATGGATTGGACGTGGAGGCCCAGTTACTTGGCCCCCTCGCTCCTCTGACTTGACGCCACTGCATTTCTTTCTCTGGGGGTACATGCAAAGCTTGATGTACAAGGCTCCAGTGGAGACACAACATGATCTTGTGGCAAGAATTGCAGTAGCAGCTGGAACCATCCGGGAAATGCCGGGAATCTTTCAAAGAGTTCAGCATAACATGGCCAGGCGGTGCAGAACATGCAATGAAATCGGCGACCGCCATCTTGGGCAACTTTCTTAATGTAAAACAACGATAACATCCCCTAAAACTTAAGCATCCTCTCGGAAATTTTTGTGACCCTTAGTACCAAAAGGAAGTGTTTCCGGAATGGGTGAATTAACAACATATGATCAAATTGAAACCATCTATCTACCACAGAGCGTTGTAATATATATTTACTTACACTCTGTACATAATTCTTTGTCTGGCAGTATAATGTTCATATTCATATATTATTATTTTATTATTATTGGAGGGTGTGTGTTTCCCCATGCACCGGGACCAGTTGTTGATCTATTGTACGTCCCCCTTTGATATTCTACCAGTCTCCATATCCTACCGGTACTGGTGCGTGCTATCAGACCCGTTGAGCCAACGAGGTCGGCCATCGGTACCTTGATACTTCCTCCATCTACCAGAGGTATTGGAAACCACTTGGACGGGAAATTGTGGCCTAATTTTGCTCAGATGTCTCATAGAGACATGAGGTTCTTTTACGTGCCGTAAATGTACGACACGGGACACACGGCTTAAAGTCCCTCCCGGAGGACTTGTTCCCTGAATTTTTCCGCCCTTAAAAATTCCACGAACTCCGCCGGGTTTAAAGCCGGCACTATAGGCGTAAAAACTTATTGTAAATACAAGGAGCAAGGAAAATATAAAATTTATTAAACGGGCTTTTGACAGGTTCAAGCTGCGAGCTTTTGTTGGTAAGGTTTGGGTGTCCCGCATACCAGAAGAGTTACGCCTCCGGGACCGCATGCCCCAGGTAGGGCCACCCACTCTAGACATTTTGACTGATATTGGCTAGGCAAGAGGTACGCCAAGGTGGGAGTTGGACATGAGCTGGCCTNTAGTAAGTGTTACCAAATATAAGTAAGATTGTTTATGGAATAAAGGAAAATGATAACCGTGGTATCGCAGTCCAAGACCGTAAATCCAAGGTGTAAGGACGTAATTGAACGTTTAGATTCTGTTACTGGGTTGTCGGGGAAATACTCGTAGACTGATCGCGGAAGACAGGATAATGAAATAAGAGAAGATAAATGTGTTGCAGGGGCTAACACTGAATATGTCACAAGTATCTGTGGCGTTATAAAGTCAGTTAAATGGAAGGGAAACGCGATGAGACGCGAAACATTGTCCTCACGTTATATATTTCTCTTTTCTATTACCTTCTTCTGTTTTTGTCTTCATTTCTCCTTCCCCCTTTCAGTAGATATATGTTTCTTCTTGCTATTAATTTCTTTCATTTCCTTTAATTTCTTTATGCTTTCTTTCGTTTTGTTTTCCATTCTGCCATTTATTCAGCTTCCTGTTACTTAGCTGTAATGTTTCTCTCCCTTACTTTGCGTCACCTTTCCTTCCTCATGACAAAAGCAAATGGCCGTGGTATAAGTTTCGGCACAGTAAAACATCTGGTCCGACTTTCGACGGAGCCCACGTAAAACTGTGCTTCTCATCATTTTCACGAGACAAGTTTCACGAAAATGCGGAAGAGAAACGCGGCTAATTTATGTATTCTCCCTTCTCCTTCATTAGCATTCAGTCCTCTTCTTGTTACATGTTTATGATGATCAAGTCGAGGAGGATGAGATGGGCTAGGCATGTAACAGGAATGGGGCGGAATGGCATGTATATAGGATATTGGCGAGACAGCCACTAGAAAGAAGACACTAGAACGACCAAGACGTAGATGGGTGGGTAACAAACCTTCGGATTCCATAAAATGTTGGGAAGTTCTTGAGTAGCCGCACGACTGGCGGTTTTTTTAAGAAGAATTCAGCTTCATGGAGTTATTTATTTATTTTCCTGTTGCGATGGTTTCAAGCATTTAGTCCCCCAGGCTGTCACAACTCCACGAAAAGATAAGAATTTAAGGCGTCTTTGTTTGTTTGTCTTATCGAATGGATAAGCACACAGATTAATATAAATTTTAATTAATACCGTCAAGTGTGACTGATATTTTTTCCTTTTTAATCTTTTATCCTTGACATCTTCAGAAGGATATCAATACAATTAAAAACCACTATTACGATGCGTTTTCTGAATATTAATATATGGCCGCGCTAGGCCCTGGGGTTTACTCAGCCTCTAACAGAAATGAATACCAGGAATTAATTAAATAATTTTCCTGGGGAGTGAAGCGCGGCCGGCGCGTAAGGCTGACAACCTTACCGCCATCTTTGAGCCGATTGTCAAGGTAATGTGGGACCCTCAACGTCTCACAACCCTATGGGCCTTCACTGCCTGTTACAGGGATAGCTTTACTTTTTACTTTTACATATAATATTATCATAATACGACGAATGCAAAATATAATATTTTAACAACTAAATCGGTGTGTACTAATACGTTAAAATATTTACAATTATTATGTTTAAAAAGATTTTGTTAAAATTTTTTAAAATCAAATTGGTTCGTGTCCTTTAAACATTTTATCAGTCACACTAGACTGTGTTAATTAACCTGTATAATATTACTAATGTGACGGGCCAGGATGAACGAAATCAATCACAGATTAAATAACCAAGCCAAGTTGCATCTAAAATTTCAGAAAAAAAAAGACGAAGGATTGTAGTTCCAAGATCAGGCTTCAAACCAGGTATCTTCATAACAACAAACAGAATTAACAACAACTGTCTCGTCACAGACAATACGGTACTTCATTACATGTCAAATCCACAACAGAATATTGAACCCACGTTCACCTGAAATAATTCTCTTCAGTGAACCACAAAGATATTTTTATTTTTGCATTTGATAGATGTATGGATCTATGAAATCACATTCTATTATTCCTCTATAGCATTCACTTAACGAAAGACGCGCGTCATTGATCAATGCCACAGCATCAGAAGTGTCCCTTTGTCAATGTGCCGCGAACATATGGAGAGTTTCCGCTTCTTACACGCCAAAGCGCAGGGAGATCAAAGAGAGGCTCACTGTTTACTTGTCACAAGCATCTGCGAAACTGCCGGCAGATTGATAAACTGCAATTTGTGCCAGTATAATTGGTTGGGAGTTAAAACGCTTAAAACGTCACATGACTTCTCTGCAGACGCTCTTCTTACATGCAAAACCTTCTCATCGACATAACGTCACTTACCGCAGTTACTGAAGGACAGTGTGGAAGGATATGCTGTAAGGAGATACATAATTTATCGAGCTGTATTTATTTGTTTCTTTAAGATGAACTTTTATTTCTAAAACCAAGCGTACACAGAGTCACGGTTTATGACCCCTGTAGGAATATTCTTATTTATCCGTATAATTAATGTTACCCTGTTCTGTTTTGTCATTGTAGAGGTCTTTCTATGGGCTGATCTCCAATTCAAGGGGTCGTATCGCGCGTAGATATTATTTGAAAGAAGAATACGACGACGTTGATGATGATGATGGCAATAATTCAATTCAATTCTTTATTATTTATGTGCTGAGTCAACAACCGCAAGGCCAATTACAAACACAGTATAGAGTAGATGCAGACTGTTGCACCTGCTCACGCTGGTTCGAAAGTGGATTTCTTCTTGTCTTCTACCCTGAAGATGGAGGCGATTGGTTCCTCCGAAACATCGGTTAACACAATATATACACGGCGCCACATTCTAGAAGACTGCTTTCTTCATAGTCACCTCCGAGGAGAACTTAAATCTTACAAATAATTATTTCTTATTTCATGGTTTGGTGACTCCAGCATTAACTGTAAGAAACTGAACGTGTTCAGGAGACAGGGTTGTTCCTTGGTTCAGTAATATTACCATCACATGACAACACAAGAGAAAACAGAGGGACAAGGGTAAATGTTCGTGTTACATTTACTACTGGATCCGACTGCAAACTTAGTACCTTTCATATTCTCTGCGTTGTAACACATAGAGTAGGTTGCAAATGCGGCTATGGATGAAAATCGAACCGAGGAGAAACGACTNGGCCTGTTACGTTGGGAAACGTCGGAGGTTCATTTAGGGGAATACTGGGCAAAAGGTTACTCCGAATACAAAATATAATGATCTGGTCTAACCGAAAGTTTGGTCAAAATTACTTCGTATATTAGGCAAAAGGATAGTCAGGCTGAACATTGTTGATAAACAATGGAATATATATCATCTTGCATTGTATTTGGCGCGAGGTAGTACTACAGGCAGTGAAGTTGGTATTATGTGGTGCACCTACTGTGTAAACTATTATTAACTTTTGAATTTGTATACCGGTCTCGATTTGCTACACCTATGAACATTTCGTAAAATTCTATACACGATATGGATTGGTCTCAGAGACATTTTTTCTGGCAATTTTTGGAATTTTGAGTTTCAATTTCGTTTGTTTGCCGGAAATGCAGCGAACATTTTGTATTTAAGACCTACATTTTCACTGGAATATTTATAAGGAGAATTAAACTCTCCCATGGAGACAGGCAGGAGTCATTGAGCTGAATTTCTCTTCTACAGAAACAAAATTTCGGCTTATAACTTTCCTTCTTTTTTTTTTCAGGTTACTTGGAATTTTTGTATTGTGTTCAATATTTATCGCCGGAAAGGAACTTCGGTTCACGGATGGATATGCATCATCCTGGAGAGTAAAAGTTCTCTTATTCTGCTCTATTTAGAACCTGATCTGCATCTTGGGCTGGGGTGAAGCCTTCTTCAATAAGCAAGCAGTCAGCGGAAAGGAGGTGCCTCAAGAGATGATGTCAGACACAGCATTCTGCATTGCTGTAACTTGGTGAGTACGCAGCACCAGTGAGCTCGTAAAAAATTCATCCTTAATTGTTTTCCAGAGTTTTTGATTATTCAGATTTATAGCTAAAATTTAATGGTCCATGATTTCAGTTGTCCAAAAAGAAAATTTTATCCGCTAGAGATTGTAGCTTTAGTGGGATGGCTGGATATGAAGAATCTCTCAGTATATGTGACTATCTGACGTGTGATGAGTGACTGTCAAAATTTGGAGATATATGACTCCCATAACATACGATTCTGTAAATATTCGTATGTTCCAAAAAGTTAGCTTATGTTTATTTGGACGTCTGGACTTTACACTGACAGAAGAATTTAGTGCAGATACGGTTCATTGGTATTTGGATCTTTTTCAAATCTAAAATCAATTTGAACTGAACATAGCAGGAATGCGTGCACGTATTGTTGTTCACATTTTCTTCTTTTCAGCTCTTGTCAGTCATGTCTGTAGGATTTTTCACTTCGATGGATGGTAAATAGTGGAAATGAGGAAATAGTCTGTTTTGAAAACTGTTTTCACAGTAAACAGTTTACTGCTGGCACCTACAAATTATATATTATTCAGAGCCATTGCTCGTCCGTTATTTCTTGACCTGTGGCTTCCCATGCGATAGATTAGTCCATAAAAATTCTTGGGCTTAGTCTTAACCTAAAATGGTGTTAATTCTGTTGAGAAGATATTAATTAGCCTTTTTTGTTAGTTGAAACTTACCATTCCCCCAGCGTTCTCAAAATAGGTCCGATATGAGATTCGGTAGGCCCCAGAACCGGTCTGGGTGATATGGAAAGAGAAAACTCTTGCCCAAAGCTGAACTCAAACTCTGAACCCTCGGCCATCCAGGCCGTAATCAGTCGCTATACTGACTGCGTTGTCTAGGCTCCTTGAAGATGTGTACTGAAACGTAAAATTGCATTTGGCGATTACACTGTTTTACTTTTTACCACATTACTGCCTACTTAGTAGTCTGCAACGTTATCATCGGGAAAGCTGTTCTGCATAACTTCTATAGTTCTGATAGAAATGAGCCCGAGTAACACGTGGAGTGTTATTTCAACAGAATTCCACTTGCCACATCTTCCTCGACTCCGAATAGATTAAGACAGGTTAACGAAAGCAGCTTGTACTTATATACATACGGAATGAAGCACAAAAGAAAGGGATGAAGGAAACAATTGCTGGGCCGGTAAAAGTATTACATTTTCTAATCCGTGAAGCCTGGAAGATTATATGGCCCTATTATATGTGTTTAATTTATCGTAAGAACATTCTGGAGATGCTAGCGTCAGTGAGGACTCCTGTGTGAAATGGAACATTTAAGAACATAACAGAATTACGAATCTGCGGTGACGAACAAAGAAAAAGAAGGATACGGAAGAAATGAGAATAAGAATAAATCTTTTTAAGAGAAACGTTTTACAGAGAATACAACGTAAAATGTTGCTTTAGTACTGATATTCAGGAAGAATGGGAGAATTGAGATGTCTCAAATAAGTAATTCCCTTGGCACTAAGTGGGAAACACGGAGCACAACACAGGGAAGCAGGAAGGAATTCATGCAGCCATAGCAACAAAGATAGAATATCTTCTGTTGTGGAGGGAAGGGAATTTGTGAGAAGTACAAAAGAATAAGAAAAGTAGTCATGATTTCTTCTTGTGCTCGAAAATTCAGTTTTAAATTCGAAATTGGCCTTTCACTGAATTTCGTTGGTAAGGAACCTTACCAAATGAAGCAGGCTTAAGATCCCTTGTCCACTGTGTGATGATAATAATTATTGAATTCTCCGAGGAGATGTTGAAGAGGGTGCGACGGGAGGGCCGTACGCAATGGGAGAATAACAATTCATATAGAAATTTATTCGGAAAACTCAAAAGAATGTGACTACATATGCAACGTAAAACTGAATGGCGTAAGAGCAAGAGCTTGCTGAGGGGAGGGGGTGGGAGGTGAAACCGGGCTCTTTTGCATCACGACCGTAACCAGTGCAGGACTTCTCTAAACGTAGTAGACCTTCGAGTTCCATAAAAGATGGGAACTTCTTAGGCAACTGAATTATAACTGGGGGCACGCTGTAGCGTAGTTGGTTGAGGCACTATGCTACAAGCCGGATGGCGGGTTCAAGTCCCGTTCGGGTGGATTGTTTTTAATTGATTTAATCCTTCCAACCGCACTATGGTCCTGGGATCGATTCAGCCTCTAACAGAAATGAATACCAGGAATTTTCTTGGGGATAAATGGCGGCCGGCCGGCGCGTAAGGCTGACAACCTCACCGCCATCTATGAGCCGACTGCCTATAAAATGTGGGCCCCTCAACGTCTTACAACCCAATGGGCCTCCATGGCCTGTTACAAGGATAAATTTACGTTTATTAAACTATAATTAGCAGTACTGTACTTCAACGTCATATTATACGTGAACAATTTTTATGTGTTCCGTCGTCACAATTCTTGTTTAAATTGAATAGATTGTACTGTTTTCACTTTACAACTTGCTTCGGTCATTCAGTTCGATTGATACTGATTTGTTTTGGAAGTACTGGACAAGTTCAAACGGAATATAAGGAAAGCACTTCCATTTTAAAAAACTGTGTCTTTTGTGAGACCGGTTGATCTTCATTCTATGAGTACTGCCCATATACTCGAGTAATATTTCTGCCATGTTTCAACCCAGACGCTGCACTTCTCAGAACTGTGGAATATAAACAGGGTAACTTAATTTAATTTGTAATTAAAACCAAATAGACTTGTTCAACTGTCAAGAACAGAGCAGTAAGAGGAAATGTGTTTATAATAAAGACATTCATTTACTCTAAATGTATTCAGCGGTGCACATTAACAAATTTTTAGCAGCTGAAAGTGGAATTGTCTTGCAAGTTTAAAATATTATTTTTTTTTAATTTCGCTGCTCTTCTTTCAACGACGAGACAGAATCTTGACAAGAAGTTCTAGAAAGAAATATCACCTACTTTCCTCTTACTATATATTGTGCATTTGATGAGACTTGGACCGCACAGAAAACATCACGACCATCATTTCTTCTATTGTTACACATGTGTTCGTTTCTGCGGGGAAGTACTTAGGAGCTGCTGCATATTAACTCCCGGGGGGGGACACAGACAGTAAAGTAATGCAATAAGCCTCAATTTATTCTTGAAAACAGGGAAATTAGGCTAAAAGAGAACAATTTACACTCAGGTCTATTTTGTGTTTGCGGAAAATTTTCTATAAGGTGTATCGTAGTAGATTTATCGAGATGACCAATCAACATGTATCTTGGCCGCGCCATAGCTCAAGCGGTCAGTGGCTGGCTTCCCACCGCGACGGCCCGAGTTCGATCCTGGGTGTGGTCAAGTAGGATTCGTGGTGGACAAAGTGGCGCTGGGGAGGGTTATCTCCGAGTACTTCGGTTTCCCCTGCCAATCTTCATTCCACCAAATTCTCCCTCGTCATAATCACCCGGGGCAGCCTACAATAAACCAATCAGTCGCCACCGTGCCGAGTGGACCCAGTTGGACTCCACCCCCCACTAAGCGAATTAAAAATAAAAACATCTTTGTGGGCTTATAAATTATGCAAAGTGAAATAATTTACAAGAAGGCATCTAAGAGGAAAGTTTCGCAGAAATGTTAGTTTCAGCTGAATATCACCTAGTTCTGTTGCTTTCTTTAACGATCACACGGTAGAAACAAGAATTGTCAGTGGAAGATAACAAAATGTCTGCAGGGACTGTACTGGTTCTGATTCACTTCCAAGTTGTGAAGTGACCTTCTCGACCTCGCGAAGGAACAAGGTTTCGCTTTTAGCCTAGGTCCCCTACTTTTTCTCACCTGAGAAAATATAACCCTCTCAGAACTGGTTCACAGGAACCAAGAGAAGTGCCGGCATTTTGCCCCTATTTTCTGTTTGCCGGTCGTACTTTCATTCATCTCCATGTACAACAGAGACTGAGTAATGCATATTTATCTTAAATGTTTAAATTTGTGCTTATCAGTTGATTGCTCCGGGACACTTGAAAAGTTATGTATTTCTCATATGCACCTATATTTATTAATTTTCTAGAAGTTGAATGCTAGGCAAAGACAAATTCATGAAGATGAACTCACTGATTCCCAGACGGTAGCATGCCTTTCTCACAGAACTAACTCACATTCCCAACAAAATATATTACTGAAGTAAACAGACACAGGAGGTAATGGAAGAATTATTATATTATATTAAATATGCGATAAATTTAAGACTAATAACCAAAATGAGGTATTACTGATACTGAAAAAATAAACTGAAAACTTCCGATGTATTTTATTTGGGCGGAATATTTCCTGACGCGTATGGAACGAACTTTTAATCAAATGACTTATTGCATGCAAGTTTTTATGACTTTTATTAATTATATTTCAACTATGGCTCGAACCACTTAATATTATCACCTGAAATCACTCACTTACTCATGGATCTCAGTTCTTGTGAAGCCGCCTATTGTGCAGCTACTCAGTAGCTTCCCAGCATGTTATGGAACCCGAAGGTTCAATATCATGTTCACAAGAGCCCTCCACTGGTCCTTATCCTGAGCCAGATAAATCCAATCCATACTATTGCATCCCATTTCTGTAAGATTAATTTTAATATTGTCCACCCACCTATACTTTGGTCTTCCCAGTGGTCTCCTTCCTTCCGGCTTTCCCACCAATATATTATATGCATTTTCCTCTTATATATTCATGCTACATGCTCTGCCCACCTCATCCTCCTTGACTTGATCATTCTAAATATACTTGGAGAACGTACAAGTTCCGATGCTTCTAAATGTTTGATTTCAGTTTCCTGATTCGTACAGTCTCTGGGCTTAAGTGTCTTATTCTGTTCTCCCTCCTGAACTGGCAGCCAGCGATCTGCATGGAGCAGGAGTTTCTGTCGCCTATTGCTAAGGCATTCTGATAG